TGCGCTTGCGCGCTTCAGCCCGCGCAGGGCGCACCCCACCCCCTCCCACCCTCCCTGCCTCTCGGACCCCAGACCCTACCTCATCCTTCTGGCCAGGCGAAGCCTACGTCGTTGACATGCCGGAGATCCGCCTCCGCCATGTCGTGTCCTGCAGCAGCCAGGACTCGGTGAGGGACCTGCATGGGGGAGGTTGGAAGACGTGAGGGAATTAGTGAGGACAACTCTTAAAAGAACTCTTGGGGTTCTTCTTGGAAGTCTAAGGAGAGTCATGGGGGGATTTCCAGGAGGCTAAAAGTGAATTGTGGAGAGATGTTGAATTAGGGACGTTCCGGCGTCTAGGGAACGAACTTCCGGAGAGAAAAGGAGGAATAAGGAAAGCTTTCTTGGAGAGCCCATAGGTGAACTTCCACGGGAAAGTGTTGTAAGGGAAACTCCAGGCAGAGTGTGGGGGGATTAACGGGAGAGCTTAAGTCTGGAGGATCGTAGAGGCCTTGGGAGGACTCGAAGGAATCAGCTGAGAGCTGGAGGCCTAGCTGTCATTTCTGTGCTCTAATTCTCCTCTCCCACTGTTGTTTCCAGACCCACTGTGCAGAAAATCTTCTCAAGGCAGACACTTACCGAAAATGGCGGGCAGCCAAGGCAGGCGAGAAGACCATCTCTGTGGTTCTACAGGTGATCCTGCCACCCCACCTCCTCCTCACTAGGAGTCTGGAGTCCGGGGTACCAGATTCTGCTCCTGAACCAACTGGCAATGGGTTGAGTCACTTTCTTTGCTGGGCCTCAGCTTCCTTACTTGGAAAATGGGCGGCATAATCCCTGTGCCCCTCAGCAGAGAGCAAAGGAGACCCAAGGATGAGGTCCAGGATGACCATAGGAATCAGTGTGTGGTCCTGGGCTGGTGGCTTCTACTTTCTGGGTTTCAGTTTCCTCAGCTGGAACAAAATTAATCATTGCCACGTACCCTGCCTCCTGCAGCCAGTGGGCTCGGGGCTGGAAGGTGTCCAGGAAGGTCATCTAAGCCAATCAACTCCACTTTAAAGAAGGGGAAACTGGCTGGATGCTGTGGCTCATGCCTGTAATCCCAGCACTTTCAGAGGCTGAGATGGGAGGATTGCTTGAGCTCAGGAGTTCCAGACCAGCCTGGGCAACATATCAAGAGCCTGTCTCTATTTTTATTAAAATAAATACTTTTTTTTTTTTTTTAAAGAATAATAGGCCAGGTGTGGTGGTTCACACCTGTAATCCCAGCACTTTGGGAGGCCGAAGCTGGAGGATCGCATGAGCCCAGGAGTTTGAGACCAGCCTGGGCAATATAGTGAGATGTCATCTCTACCAAAATTTTATAAATTAGCTGAGCATGGTGGTGTGCACCTGTAATCCCAGCTACTGGGGAGTCTGAGGTGAGAGAATTGCTTGAGCCCAGGAGATGGTGGCAGTAGTGAGCTGAGATTACGCCACTGCACTCCAGCCTGGGCACCACAGCGAGACCCCCAAAATATAAAAAATAAAAGAACAGTAATGAGAGCTAACATTATTCAACATTACCTGCCAGTCACTGCTCTACACACCTCACTCACATAGATTAGCTCATTGAGTCCTCATAAACCCCAAGAGGCAAGCTCTGTTATCCCCACTTTTACAGATGAGGAAACTGAGGCCCAAAGAAGTTATACAACTTGCCTGACAGTCAGTCTTTTATTTATCTATTGAGACAGAGTCTCACTCTGTTCCCAGGCTATAGTGCAGTGGCATGATCTTGGCTTGGTTCACTGCAGCCTCTACCTCCTGGGCTCAAGCAATCCTCCTGCCTCAGCCTCCTGAGTAGCTGGTACTGCAGGTGTGTGCCAACATGCCTGGCTAGTTTTTTTTTTTATTTTTTTAGAGACAGGGTTTCTACCATGTTTCCAGGCTGGTCTCAAACTCCTAGACTCAAGCAGTTCTCCTGCTTCAGCCTCCCAAAGTGCTGGGATGACAGGTGTGAGCCGTTGTTCCTGGCCTGGGGGCTGGTTTATGACTATAAGGAGCAGAATACCCTCTGGATAGTGCTAGGGTGAAGGAAAAATTAACCTTTTGAGAATGGGCAGTCATTCAGCAAATATCCACTCCTCTCCCTCCCGCTGGAGGGGGAGTATATTTCCCTGCTCCATTGATGGGTTTGACCATATGATTTACTTAATGGAATTTCAGCACATCTAACTTCAGCAAGGGCCTTAAATGCACTTGGCTTTTATGCTCCCATGATCTGCCATGAGAACATTTGTCAGGTTACTGCTAATCCCAGAAAACTGAAATCTCATGGAAGAGACCTGAATCCTTCCAAACTGCAGCCAAAGCAGCCATCCCATGAACTCTTAGAAGAATGCTTGTTGGTGTAAGTCTCAGTTTTCATGTTGGGAGGTCGAGGTGGGTGGATCGCTTGAACCCAGGAGTTTGAGTCCAGCCTGGGTAACATGGGGAAACCCTATCTCTACAAAAAAATACGAGAAATAGCTGGGCGTGGTGGTGCATGCCTGTAGTCCCAGCTACTAGGGAGGCTGAGTGGGGAGGATCGATTGAGCCCATAAGGTTGAGGCTGCAGTGAACTGTGATGGTTTCACTGCACTCCAGCCTGGGAGACAGAGTGAGACTCTCTCTCAAAAAAAAAAAAAAAAAAAAAAAGTCTCAGTTTTAGGATGATTTGTTACACAGTTACACAGCATTATTACAGTGTAAGTTAATACAACTTTGTGGTTTCAAACCACTGAGATTAGGGACTCCTTTGTTACTGTAACGTCATCTAGTCCATCCCAATTGATGTCAATGTTTAGCGCCTGTCAACTAATGGCCTCCACTTCCCAGGTTCAAGTGATTCTCATGCCTCAGCCTTCTGAGTAGCTGGAATTTACAGGCATGTGCCACCATGCCTGGCTAATTTTTGTATTTGTAGTAGAGACTGGGTTTCGCCATGTTAGCTAGGCTGGTCTTGAACTCCTGACCTCCGGAGTTCAAGGCAAATTAGCACCAAATGCTAATTTAAGTGATCCACCCACCTTGGCCTCCCAAAATGTTGAGATTACAGGCGTGAGCCACTGTACCCGACCTCAGTCTTTTAAACTGTGATAGGTACAGGTTGCTGACAGTTTTAGTCTTAGGACCTAGATTCAAGCCCCCAGCTCTTCCTCTTACTCGGTGACCTCAAGCAAATTGTTTCATTTCTCTAACCTGTTTTCTCATGTCTGGGAATAATGACATCCAAGCCGGAGTTGTGAAAATTCGGTGACATAATGTCTGTACAAGTGCTCTGTCAACAAGTAGGTGTTTGTGTAGAGGGAGGGATTCGTGTTTTTATTACTTACTGGGTGATGATTCCGCTGGGCTCTCTTATGATCAGGTGACTCCAGCGAAATCACATTTCATTCTGTTACCCCAGTTGCTGTGGAAACAGCGTGACTGGAGGCAGAAGAGACAGAATCTGTCCCTGGCCTGGGAGAGACTGAGGGAGTATTGCAGCTGTCACCAACATGGTAGACCCCAGAGGGAGCAGCTTGGGAAGGTGATGTGTTTCGATTGGGATGTCCAGGTTTGATGTGACTTTGGGATAGTCAAGGGGTGGCATCCAGGAGGCAGTTAGGGATCACATGTGGAGCTAGAGACAGAATGTGGAAGTTGTCAGTGCAGGGAAAGAACCTATAGACTCGGGGGTAGATGGTGGATTTATTTGTTCATTCAC